CACCGACGGGGGAACCCTGATGGTCGGCGTCTTTGATGGCGGCGTCATGGAACGATCGAGAGCGAGCATCATCGTAGAGAGACTTCCGCATGCGTGTCTCGTTGCAGTTCGTTGACGACTCTCGACCGAGTACGAGATTGACGGGTGACGAATAAATTTTTTGAGACCAAAAGACCTTTTATTAATTTTAACCCGAATCCCTGCGGTTCCCCGAACCACGCCTCCTTAGACTACTTCGTTGAAATTGATCTTCGAACTAATTGTAAGTATATTTTATATTCCCACGTTCATAAATAAATATGATAAATTTATACCTGGAAAAATTATTACAGGCATCTATAGTTATCCTTCCTTTGTATCGACAAGTGTAATAACCAACAAAATAATATAAAGTTTATAAATATCGATAATTATATAACACAATTATCGAAATACGTGAAATATGTGCGAGATAATCCCAAGCATTCTTGTCTTAGGTTTACATAGGTAAATTTACGTAGATTAAATACGTAATGCGCGTCACTGTCTGTTTCTCCTTACCTATTCTATAATATATGTATATGTATACTAAACGGTTAGTCTAGCATAACTTATATTAAAACCTGTGGCAGGTTTTAATGGTCAAACTTTGCAGGTTTGACCATTAGACCATTTGACCTATACCATATGGGTCTAAATAAAAGAAAAATGTCGTATCGATATGGATCCCAGAACTAATGTTTCAAAATAAAAATCGACTTTGTTTATTTACGAATATTTGTTTTCTTATTAATTAATTATTCATAGAACATATAATATATGATAATATGTAATATGTCATAATATGTAACAAGTTCAAACACTATAAAACTTGGTATAAACTGCAATTTTTAAAGGAAAAGTGCAATAAAAATATAAATAATTTAAGCAAAAAGAGACGCGTGGACTTGAGAAATGCCAAAACGGCTAAAGGCGTAGGATGGAAGGATTAGCGAACGAAATTATTACCGATATCGAGAAACATTTTTTTTTTAATCCTTAAAATACTTTCCTGAAATTTGTCTTATGAGACATTCGGCGAGTTGTTGTATCTTTGGTAGGTAGCGTGTGTGTGTTATTCCCATTGAAGTGATACTGTTGCAGTATTCCTGTATTTACAATCAAGTTTGCGTCGTTAGGTCCAGAGGATGCTTTTTCTTCAGTCTCCTATTGATGTTGAGCATGTATAAGGAATTAGCTAACGGATTCGGATGGTTTGCTGTTCTTGCTTTATATTTGCTGGATATTCGCTGTATTTTTTCCTTTACAGATTGGATTTCAAGGTCCTTGCGTAAATCTTCATTTTTCATGTCCCATGGTGTCCCATTGTTCGAAGAGTAATTGATTGCATGGCTTCCATTTTGTCGATGTGAGTTTTCACTGCAGTACCCCATAAATGGATACCATATGTCCAGACGGGTTTTATTATGGTTTTATAAATTAATAGTTTATTTTCCATGTTTAGTTTCGAGCGTCGATTGGTTAGCCAGTACATTCCCTTCCTTTTGATTCTGATTCGTTGCATTTTCTTATGAATGTGTTGTCTCCAGGTTAGCTTCGAGTCTAGGTGGAGTCCTAGGTACTTCACCACTTTAGTTTGTGATATAACATTCTTGTGTAGCGTGATGTTCGGTATATTACCTTTCCGGTTCGTAAAAGTGATGTGATTGCACTTATTATGGTTTATCTTTATTTTCCGCTCGTCTAGCCATTTTTCTAATAGTTCTATGTAGTTTTGTAATATTTTTACTGCCTCCTGAGGTCTTTGTGTATTGCTAGTATGCCTGTGTCATCTGCAAATGTACATGTTACGCTGCTTGATGTTGGAGGAATATCTGCCGTATAAAAGGTGAAGAGTATTGAGTTTAATACACTTCCTTGTGGATGCCAGCGTTTATTTCTTGTATGTCTGAGCGTGCATCTTTTACTTTTACATAAAACATTCTATTACTTAGGTAAGATTTTAGTAGTTGGTAGATTGAGTCAGGAAAGTGCTCTTGGTGGTTTCAAGTAATCCTGCATGTCAAACCTTATCGAACGCTTTTTCTATATCCAAAGACAAACACGTGTAATATTTTTTATTTTCCAAGGCGGTATACATTTTGTTGATTATTCTATGGGCCTGTTCTATTGTACCGTGTTTTTCTCTAAATCCGAATTGCTGATCTGGAATTAAATGTTTCCCGCTGATTGTTTCCTTGATCCTGGTTAGGAGTATTCTTCCCAATATTTTAGAAAACATGGGTAACAGAGAAATGGGTCTGTAGTGTATGTTTTCATTTGGTTTCGGTAGCATTATTATCTCGGCTTATCTCGAGAAAGATTAGCCGATAGAAACAAATATACGGAGTTCAAACTTTCTTTGTTACTACTTTTGTCGTTGATTAAATTTAATTCAACGTATCATGAAGAAATTTATATTTGCGATATCGAATATTCGTAAATAATAAAAGAAATGGATTCTATGAGAAAAAAATTGATCATATCTCGACCTAGATTAAATCTTATTATTAGACAGTTTTTAATCCACTCATTGAGTATTATAAGCTCTCGAAGCTTTGAATTTTACTTTGTACGCATGCATGCATCTCGTTTCATATCGTCAAAGATAGTATGAAAATATTCGCTGCTCTTGGCGATACGAGATAGAGAGCTAATGAAAATGGAATTTATTAGCCTATGAACTTTTTCTGACTCTTTTCAATGGATTCTTTCTAATGAAATGTATCATTCGTTTCTCGTATCGATTCATTATGTCAACTTATTTCTCCTTTTGCAATATTTCCCATAAACAAAGTAAACGTAAATATCGCATCTATTCCTTATATAGAGTATCACGGTAACTACACCTCTGACAACGTTCCCTTCGAACTCCGTACTATTATCGCAATTTTTTAACAAGGCTTTAATCGATCTTTGTTTCTATTAGAATCGCAAAATATACTCGCAAGATTTGCGAATCGCAAAAGTATTCCTAAACCATTCAATCGACCACGTCGAACGATTGCTATTTCTTCTTAACGCATATTTCAAAATGTCATAATAATCGAAATATTACGAAATAACAATTTAATGTAACAAAAACTGAAATTAAATCATAGGAATTGATAATCAGGTATAGGAATCGGAATATTTATGAATCTAATCTACACTCGTGACAACAAAATTAAGAGATCGAAAAATTGTCGCTGTCCTTGAACTGTTGTATCTTGGCACGAAGGAACATCGCGCCAAGGAAGGAAGGACCAACTCGATGTCACTATTAATCTTAAAACCTCTACCTCGTCACACGTGAACGGTCGATTCTCGGAAAGTTCCTTACACCGAAAAGTAAAGTGAAAAACCGAGATTAGTAATTTTCTTAAAAAACGTTGACAAGTTCAAACGACTCTACGGATCTTGATAATTTTTGATTTTTCGTTGCCATTTTGTCGCAATCTGAACGAAAAGTGTTTAACGTTGGTTCAGTTGAATATGTGTTCGTGCGTTTAAAAACGCGTATTACCTACCCGTTGCCTTATCACAATCTAGCATTGCCCTTTCGCGTTGATGCATCGTTGATCGAATGTAAAATTGACGTAAAACTCATTGCAGAAGAACAAAAGAAAAAAAAAAAAAGGTTCAAAGTCCTTCGAACTTTTTAACTTTTTAAACATTTTAAGAAAGTTTTCGAGAAGTCTCTGTTTGCGTGTATCAAAGTAAGGGCTTCGAGCTTCGGAATAAGCACAAGTGCTTATTGAAAGATATGCAAGAAATGCTTCGCGCCAAATTACAGAGCGCTTAAAAAATTTCTCCATCTCTTAATTTTGTTCACCAGTGTATATCGACTTCCGAGTACGTTCCAGATAATATACATTCCCGTTACGTTAAGTTTATGCAACAAGTATCACAGAATAACCGTAGAGCAGATTGCTCAGAATCGAGACATACATAGGTACACACTTTTTAACACATTTTAACTTTCAGTCTATTCTAACTTACTGCAATTTACTCTCAAAATTCCTTCTATCTATTATAGAATATTTCATTTCTTTACCTACCGGAATGACCATTGTTTGTGACTTCCCAAGAAAATTCTGAATCGTATTTGATGAATTTAAGTGCACCAAAGTCGGTTTTAACGATGTTTTCGGTAGCGATATTTATCGGTGATTGCATTTTCCCAGTCACGCATATACCTGGCCAATGTTCCGGACCTAAACATACAGAAATATACGAATCAAAACAATAATAATTATAATAATAAGAATGCAATGTAATACAACGACTTTGTTATACGAGTTTAATAATGGTTTATCGTTAATTTTAATCCTAAATAGAGATTTTATTATTAATGTGCTATATTATATACTATATATGTATGTATGCACGTCTAAAATGTCTATATAGTATGACGGCATAACAATATGACCTTTGAATGACCTTGAAATTTACAAAGTCTAGACAAACCAATGTGCTCTATACCTTGGTTACATGATTTACCATAGATAAGATATTTCATCGTAATTCATTCGTAACGATAAAATTCTGCGATACGTCGAAAAGTATATCATATTGTTCGATATGGTAATATGACAGAAGAAAAAGATATTTGCAAGAAAGTTCAAGAAGAAAACAGGAAAATAATGGTAATTATTTGAGCCCTTTTTATTTGTTTTATTTGTTTATTCGATAATTAAAGGGAAAAAAAACTGAACTGTCGATATTTTGTGTTTTAAAAATTTTCTTAATCCTAATCCCAAAAATTCTTGCGGTGTAGCGAAAATCATTTGAAAAACAATTGAAAAACAAAATCACTTATGACAATCACACGATTAAAGAATATCAGATAAACGATAGTTTCTTACAAATGATAGAAGCTAAATAAAATTTTTGCTTACGATGATATATAGAAAACTTTAACACCAGAAAATGTTACGTGTTATTGTATAATATGTAACGTAATTAATCGAATTAAGAGAATTTCTTGGTATTGTAATATCGGTAAAATCGTAGAAATAGTCGAATTTCATCTTTTTCACATTGTCTACTTTGTTTTTCAGTGTTATCTTGGTAAATATCGTAAAAAAATTAATATACGTGTCTTCAGATCGGATCAGAGATTTATTTTATTCTACGCGTCTTCAAAATGATTAAGAAAAATTATACAAACGAACACTGAATTTATCCGATCGAATCACCAACGGCAGTAATCATTTAATTTAGAGGATTAAGGTCCGATGACCTTGATCTTGACACATGCTGTCAAGGACACCCTCCCAAGTGACATCGAAGAAGTATTAGCCATCGCTCGTTATTCTTTGAAAAGTTATTAAGAAAAATTCGTATTCGCGTTAATAATATTCGAATCAAGTGTTTATTTTTATCATATTATTTCAACGATAGGATACGTGCACTGAATCGAGTGCTATACGATATGTAACATCGGTTAGCTTATCGTATTAAAATTAGCTTTTCAAAATGATTATAGGTTCTGATAGCTATATTCAAATGACCGCAAACTGGCAAACTATGGAATAAATGTTAACCTATTGATCGTTGTGCCCAATATTTCCTTAACCGATAACGACCAACAACTAAAACCATTTACGGATTAGTCGATACATTGTCCTTGACAATATATGTCAAAGTTAAGATCATCGACATCCTGATTTAAATAACTAGCTTAACGGCAAAGCTATTGTCAAATTTATATTATTGAAAAAGAATGTTAAGGTTTACTCTAAGTAAACTTGGTCGATAGGAGAGGGCGATTGAGAACCCCAACGATAATCGAATACATCCCAACATTGGTAACAGAGGCCATTAAAGACACCGAAACGAAACTTTCCTATCCATAAGAGGAACAAGATAAAGTGTTCGATCCTATGCGCGTACTATGTTCACGACAAGTTACGAAGGACCATATCTTGTTTGACTTATTCTCAGTCACTCAAACATTTTCACTCTTTCACTTTTAATAACTACAATTATAATCATAAATGCAATTATAAATGTTACAATAAATATATTTGCCATGTTTAATTACGAATATTTAGTTATTTTCACATTCATTTCTACTACTGTACATTTTGGAGTCGGCCAACGGTACCCGTTACCTACGTTTCTAAAAATCATATTATCGACGATGGGTTAATGTAACCTAATTGTGACATCCGTTGATCTATGAATCAATAGACATAGGTGACACAGATGTCGCAACAAATCAGAACTCGTAAAGCATTATAACTTCAAACATCTCGTATAAAAATCCTATTCGTAATATAATTCATATATTTCTTTGTATATTTATACTACGTACTTTCAATTATTTAATACCACATAGCATTCAGATGTATCGAACAGCTTTGATACGAAATTTCATTTACATATACATGATATAATAATGTAAATAATCTAACATGTTGTATCGTTGATTTTGTGAACAAAGGACAAGTTTCGAAATAAGATTAACAGAAGTAAAATTAAAACGTCATGTTTAAAATGATTATTTTCTCCTGTATCGAGATTTTATGGATTTCAAAAAATAATTTCAGCACCATAGTAATTAAATCTTATCGAACAGAGATAAATGATAGATAAAAATAACGATGTATGCGAAATCTAAATTGAAAATTAACGCATCCAACGATTCTCGTTTTTATAATTATTTAAGTAAATCGTTAACTCGACGATATTCGTGTATGTCCTGGCTTCGGTATAATAACTTATAGGAAAATTACAACGATACCATTCGATAACATCAGTGATTCCTATCTATTCGTAGCACAAATATTCTAAATGAACCTGTATGTTGTATTTTGCTCTTGATTATCTTCAGAACCTTTATCGAATTCCTTTTGATCGCGTAATCTATTTTGCCAAGAATAAGGAATTATAACAAGAATACGTGAACGAATATGAAAATTCCGCTTATCGATAAATTATAGCTTATCGGATAAATTTTGACGTTTGTTCGTTGCTTTATCAACTACGGAAAAGAGAAAACAAGTATTTCTCCCAATAGCTATTACCAATGAAAGGACCTTCGTATTTTGTTATATACATGTAAATACTCTACACGTTTAATCCTTTCTTTCTTCTTGAATAAAACTCGTACTTTATCTATTTAGTATTTAGTACTTTACAGCGTAATATATAAAACTATCGAATAAAACTATTCCAATTTTTGTTTCGATAAAATCTAAATCAAATTTTGCACGAGATTAAAAATAATTACCATGTTCACCCGAATACGACCAATCGTCCGACGCTGTTATCGCATGTAAACCTGTGAACAAATAAATTTTTTAATCAAAGATTTTATTTCGATGCAATCTCTTGACAAGAGACATCTTAGTCATTATTTCTCAAACAAACAAATAAAACAACAAGGGAGTTATGTAGACAATATATTATAATTTTTTACGTTAATATCGATACATTTTAAATTAAAAAATATTAATAACAAAGATAAAATGATAAAATAACAAAGAAAATTTTTTAATATATATACATAAAATTATATATATATATAAATTGCACGAGGAAAACGACATTTTTCATGCTTCGTAAAGTTAGTTAGAAAATGTAACAAGTTTAAACGGAGAGATTTCCTTCGCTATTTTCTATACAGAGGAGATTAATACGAATATATACAGTTTTATAATTTCTTCGATACATAAATAAAAGTCCGGAAACCAATGATTGAGTACACGAAGCAAATTATTAACCACATCCTACGGTACGTCGAACTGTCCCAAGTACAGAATAGTAAGCATATTATGACTGTCACATACGTGCACATTATACTAATGTTTCACTGACATAATGCTTTATATCTGTGTCAAAAACATTCATATATATATACAGTGGACCAGAAAAGTATTTCCTACATGCTATATCTCAAGAAAAATCACCTAGCTAGAAAGTTTCGATTGCACTGAAAGTTTATGTGCATATAGAGCATAATGAATTTTATACATAATAAACTTTTTATGGATCAGAAATTTATTTTAGTTTCAGTATTTTTTCGTACTCTGTGTATAATTCTCCTTCAGATTATTTTTTACAGCGAGGTGCTACAGTATTGAAAATTAAATAATTTTTGTATAAAAATTTTTGTCGTTTTTGCACTGTTACAACGTTACATTAAAAGATGTGAAAAAGGCTCTCGAAGTGTAATCATTGATTTTATCTGCCTAAAGTGACATTATCAGATATAATCTAATAATATCTCATTTCCAATGCTTTTTTCGCTTTTTTAAATACAACTCAATAATATTGCAAAATACGACAAAACTTTTCATACGAAAGCTTCATTTTCAATCCTCTGCCATGGCCATTGCGAAAAAGTTACAGAAAAATATTATTTTCGAAACACAAGAAAATACTGAAACATTGGGGCTCTATTTAGCCCCCTGAAAAAGATTTCACACTCATAGAAAGATTACTCGATGAAGAATTCATTATGCTCTACGCGAGTAGTACTATAGTTTGCAAATGCTTTTTCCACTCACTGTAAATTTATCAGGAATAAATTCTTCAATCGTGCAAAAAATATAAGGCCGTTTATACTATCGAAAGATAGACGTGATTAAAATTGTCAAATTAAATATTCATAACACGAATATGACATTTACATACCAACATTTTTTGTTTAAATAATGATGTTAATCGTTTAAATAATCTAATTTCAAATTAAGGTGTAACTGACAAAATTTTCATTATAAATAAGATTTGTCAGAAGCTATAAACTATTCGTTATTAGCGTTATAAAGGATAGTTGTATCGGATTAACAGTAAATTCAAATAAATTAACCTATCTTTATATGTACATATAAAAACGAAACAAGTCGATCGATAAGTCGATGGAAAGAATATAGCAAGTGTAATGAAACTAATTGTATTTTCGTTCTATAAGGTGAAACACGATACATGCATATTCTTACAGAGAGAATGGAAATAGAAATGTACGTATAAACCTAGAAGTGCAATTGATAAATGTCGATAATATCGAAATGTTATGGATACATGGATATATCACTAATAACATTAAGATATTGCATCGGTTTAACGGTATAAGGAATAGAATGAATAACGAATAGAAAGCGCGATCCAATCGTGTGATAGAATGCATAAATTGCAATAATATTTTTGGAAGTTTTATAATACGTGTTAAGTATTTATTAATGGCGATATACTTTATCTTAAAAGAAAACTTATTTTTCGAAACAGGCTAAATTTGATCTGACAGGTAAATTTTATCGGTTACGGCCAATATACATATATTAATACGTTATATGCATATAACAAGTGCTAATAAAAACGAATGATAAATAAATTTATCTCGACTATATTTTAACGATATTATCGATATCACCGACGAAGAAGTTATCAATAATAATTAATATCTCTATTATAAACGACTAAAAGAGTCTAAATATTTTAGAAAAAGATTAAAAATGGAAAAACAATCCATCAAATAAAGATTGTTCGCGTATTCGATCGAGAAGGATCGATTCAAAAATTGTGAAAGTATTATTATACCCTTAAGTAAAACAGTTAGTCACTGTTGTCATTGATTCAATAATGTTGTATTACAATGTAAAAAGTAAATAAACTCTCCCCCCGTTTTTCCCCTTTTTTTATTAGCTATCATTCTCTTATAAAGCTTAGTATGTCTCTATCTGCGTCGAATTCGATTAGTAATCGATAAATTCGATTAGTATAATGCGTGCGGCAGGAAATAAAATTAACCTCACTGACCGTTGACTAAATTAAACATCACAGAAGTATTACGTTTCTGCTAATGACACGTCGGCATGGAAAATGACCCCGAATTTCTGAGAAACCGTACAGGATGGTTTTGTACATTCTAAATTGGCACTCAATCGACCCTCAAAGGAATGTCGCTGCTTTTAAATTGGTGCTTTTACATACGGTTGATGTATGATGGAATGAAATGAATTTTAATGAGTATAACGTAAGCTTCCGGTTATTAAAGGAGGGACTGTCGCAGAACTATTTTTTTATCAGATTTTTCTAATTATCGTAAAAGTTCAAATGTGCGCGTATTAAGGAAAGTCTATTAACTATGTAATAGAGAAGACAAGTATTAACGCTACAGTAACAAACGATCTTACACGATCACAGTTTTAACTCATTTCTCACATATAAGAGTATTCGTTGTGAGAAGGTTGTTGTTCCTTTTTCAGTTTTTTCATCACACGATCCACGAAAAATCTGACTTCAAGATTATTTCTAGACTAAACAGTTGCCAGTCCAAATTACACGTATTTCGGGAAATGGAAACAAATTTTCCCTATTTCAAAATATTCGCGCATTTGCAACAGCTGTTTGACGCTTTTCACTTTCTCTTTATATGCAACAAACTGTTAAATAAGCCGATACTATTACGTTGTAAAGTGCGATTTATCGTCGAAACGTCGTAAAATGCTTAATTGCCTAAATTAAATGCGTGAAACGTAATTCAGAAGGTCGAAACTTAAACATTGCGCTAAGAAGGATCTTTGACGAAAATAATTGAACGTTAGCGAAATAAATAACGTCGTTTGATTGGACGGTAATTCTTTCCTTACCTATAATAGTCGTAAAGATTATGTACGAATTCTTCATTGCAAAAAGACTATCTGAGGCTGTCACAAGTTGCGATAACTCGATGACACGATCGTGACAGCGATGACCATACAACTGATGTACACGACGTTAATCTAGCTAGATAGCCCCGAGATTGCACGAAGCCCTACTATACGAGATTTACTTTGTGCATTGTGTCCAGCATTGTGATTGCTGCATGTGTGCATGCCGATTAACCCCCGTCTGCATAAAAAATAAATCAAGCAGCAAACTTCTCGTAACATCTATGAGCCGTACGCATAACGAATGTCACGTTTAATGTCATGTTTAAGATTCATCGAATTCGAAAGAATCAAGTGTACAAATCAAGTATACGGCATATCGTCACGTTAATCATAATTCTAATTTAAAACTAAATTAATTCTTAGCGGATTCGAATTATGACAAGTCTCCCTCTCTTTAACAACATAATCCTCTTTTCCTTACAGTCGTAATACATGTATGCGTCTATCGTTATTGCAAAAACACCAATTTCGTACGCTACCCTTCATGCAAATATACTATTTCCTATCTTCTAGAACAGAAAAATTTATTTAAAGTAATGCTATTAGATATTTCACCGTATATTTCTAAACATATTTGCAACAACGACTACATCACGGTTTTCCTAAAACAAGCTAAAAAAGTATTAAAAATCTTGGTTTACAAATTACAAACCAAACTACGTATAAAAATACCACTGTAATACCTCAAAGATACCACTATAAACATTACCAAACGTACCAAAGTTAAAACTGCAAAATACAAGAATAACGAAAAATGCAAAAATCTAGAATTCAGATTCAATCACGATATATTTTATTGTATAACGTACCTACATACATACATACATATGTATAAAATTGATCGCACAAATCGTTCCAAGAGTTTCTATAGAAGTCATTTTCGTTATATAACATATAAACATAATGTGTTATATATGACATGGGAAAAGAGTAAAATCGTTTAATATTAAAAGGAAGAAATATAAAAAGATGTAAGTCGTTGTAACTTTCAATTTCGACAAAGCAAATATTCATTAAGTGTCACAAAATCATTTTTTTACAATTAAATGTCATAAATAAATGTCTACGAACATGTGTAATATATAGTTTGCAAAAGTTGGTATATTTTTAAGTGTAATTTTAAAATAGATACACGTGTATAGAGTCGCCCGTTTGAAAGTTTCAGTGAACTCATGTTTGATATTGCAAAATCTAGTTTAAATATATTTTTCAGGAAACTACACTTTACAATGCATACCAATTCTGTTAATTCGATTTACAAGTTAAATGTATTACAAGAATATAGTCGCATGCTGAAATACTCTAAAAGATTTGATGCCCTAGCTATTGCAGTTACATTCTATTTTTATCAAATTCGGGAATAATTATTAATAATAAATGTTGGGAAATAAGCGCGATATCGTGATAATTGTCATATTTACTTATGATACTCGCTAATATTTATCTTTACATAATTTGTTTTATGAAAGCATCGGGTCAGTTCTAAATTCACGCGTATTGTTCCTCTTTTAGTGCTTGACACAAATTCATTCTGCTACTTGCGCCAGACTTTTATTCGTTTTGCCAAATCTCATAATGCGAATTATATAAAATAATATAGTGAACATTAGTAAATTAAAGTGAACGTTGACTTTGGATTGCTTTTTCTTTCCTTTTTCTTTCCTTTCTTTTTCTTTTTTCTTTCCTTGTATCTAAAAGTATTCACGAATTTACAGATTAATCTGATAAATCTATTGAAAAATAAATATTATTACTAGAAGAAGAAACAAAATTTTGTGAAACACATATCATGCTATTTAAATTAAGTCTAAGGTACGTTTAATTTTTATCTCCGAAACGATGTCAACGATGAAATTATATTAATTTATTTTAAAGCTGGATTAATATGTAAAATAACAGGAAAACATTAATAATAATTTATACATTTCTTTTTTTACATTCCATATACAGAACGATTTTTAACTTTTTGCTGATTAATAATAATAATATTTGCGACACACGATTCTTTGATTTATCGTAAGTCAAACATCACGTATATTCTGGCAAAAAATAATTTTATTATTCCCATCCTTGTTGTCGCCGTTGCTATTGTTGTTGTGGTTGTTGTCGTTATTCACATTTTATTTTTATTTGACAAAATTTCTCCTTTTTATCATATTTAACTGTTTAATATTTATTTGATTGATTTTAAATAAAAATCACTTCACACGTGACACTATAACTGAATAATATGACACCAAGATACGAGTAAAGTTACATTTATATAGATTTATAAAGAACATATTTAAAATTAAAAGCGATGTGATTTAAGGAAGATGCGAATTTACCTGAATGAAGGAATGTTAACAAAATGATAAGGTATTTTAAATCCATTTTAAACGCGTGCACAGAGAGTACAATCGTCTTTTCGCCCAATGATATAACGCGTGCAACAACTACCACTCAACTGACCTTCCTCACAAATTTCTCAGCAACGTTTGGACGAGTCACTGCCGAATTAATAGAATATGCTTTTCCTATCCATACGTTGGTACAGATATAAATATACAGCGCGTATGAAAATATTCCAATGATTATGTCATATTTTACAGGAATGATGTTACTATATATTTATTTTATTCGTTAACGCGCATTCTATAAAAATCTTTTCTATTAGAGTACCTTTCAACTAATCCTTCTATATTATTTTCATTTTGAAAGTGTTTTCCATTTAGAGAAAAGCAAGTAAATGATTAAACTTAGTTCGAGTTGAAAACTCTAAACACGGAATGTAATTTTTTCATCAAAACAGTAGCGTTTCCAATGGTTCAGTGGATTTGCTGTAGTATACATATATCTCGTCAACTTGCTCGATGACAAGCGGGATCCTCTTAAACATTAGACGATATGTTAAAAATCTTGTAATAACTCGTAAATATAATACTCGATCTCTTAGATAGGCTTAATAAATCGAACAATAAATATATATAATTGGGGTGATCAATACTACCCAGTAAAATCTATCGTCTGTCAAGATTCCTTACTTGTTAGCTAATACAACAGCTATATTAACAATATTCATGTACTTGTAGGAGACCGTGTCTTTTAAACGATGCTAACAGGATGAAATTGATAAAGAAGGATATCAACAACAGGAAAGAGTAGAAATATATTAAATACACGAATAATGAAATATTACAGCCATATTAGCAAACGTATCCGCATTTTCCAAATTGATGTTCGCAATTTTTCCAGATAGCACTGTACAATGAATCCAAATCAACTACGATAATATTTCATGTATCTTATCGAAGAATTTGTAAACTAAAGGAGAATGGAGTAATTATCAAAGCTCATCCATCAAATGGGATAATCTCAAGTACAGTCATTAATTGTTTTTTTCTTTTTTTCTTTTAACATACGTTTAATGTGTCAAGTATAATTACAATAGAATACATACAAGAAAAAAACCAAAACGTATAAAAGGTTACAAATGAAAACTTAAATTATGAGATCGATGGCTCCAACGTGGAGCACTCGCGATCTCAGGATTAAACTTAATCTGCCGTGCTTATTGCTTCAAGGTAATATATACCTACTAACTATCTTATATTAGAACGAGGGTATGCTTAATTATGGAAAGGCGCGAAAACCATACACATACTTTTGTCTTCAAAGAGAAAGGGGGTCGAATAGAAAAATAAATAACTAATTAGATAAATAAATAAAGAAATAAATAAATAGGAGGAGATAGATGAGAAGGAGGAGGAGATGGAGAGGGCACATGTACTTGTATTCAAAGATTTTTCTATACAATGAATAGACGCAACCTGAAAAATTAAGAAAGATAAACGAAAATGACTGATTAGTAGATAGAAGGGGTAAAAGAAGGACTAACCGTTATACTAACGAGGATTAGGTGCTGGGTTTCAATTGTTTATTGGTACATGATTGTTTACATTGTTCTTTTACAATTGTGTACAAGTTATCTTAACACGAATCGAGCCACCAGTATTTTTGTAAGTTTTTACGGTAAGAATCTTCCCGATCAATTCTTCATAATTTCCTATTGACTTTTGACGCGTTGTCCTGAATATCGTCTATGTTATACAAAATTGTCGTGTTGTCTGCTTTTCTAGTCATATCAAGGATACATTTTCCTCATTCCGAATGTACCCTTGACCATCCAGATTCTTTTGGTGGTGTGTATCCCGTGTGGGATACACCAGGGATACACCAGGTTTTCTCAAAATATTCAGGATTTGGGTATATACAACTGTTTATTAAACTATTACTTTTAACGTTTCTGATGTTTGCCCAATGGTTTCCAATCAATTTGAGCATGAACAAGTCTATTCTGACTATTTCTGCGTATTCGTACAGTTTGTGATTACTAATTAGTTTAGTGAAATTCGACGCTGGAGTCCGGCATTTTCTCTCGAAAATCCTCAGTTTCTCTATTGTACTTGCCGTTACGTTGAACCAAGTAGGGCAGTCATATGTCAGTATCGGTCTTACAAGTGTTTTATAGCAAATAATTTCTGTTTTCGCGCTTAGCAATTTTGAATATATTATATATACTATATATAATACACTGAATATATACATATATATACATATATTCAGTGTATTATATATATATATATTAATGAGTCGTCAGCGAATGCTATTGCGAACTTATTGGGGTCTTTATTTAGGTCGTACATGCGGAGTAGGTTGCTTATGTATATGTTAAACAAGATGGGAGAATTGACAGTCATTAATTGTATGTACATTAGGGTGGTCCTGAGTTATAGAGGACAAAATTTTTTTTTTCGT